CGCGCTGGGGGCCCCCGGGGGCTCAGCCCAGCGGGGCGCGACGATGGAGGAGCCGCAGCGCGGCCGCTCGCACACCGTCACCACCACCGCCAGCTCCTTCGCCGAGAACTTCTCCACCAGCAGCAGCAGCTTCGCCTACGACCGCGAGTTCCTGCGCACGCTGCCCGGGCTGCTCATCGTGGCCGAGATCGTGAGTGGCGGGGCCGGGGCGCAGGGAGGGTTCAGGGGGGCGCGCTCCGGGCTCGGGGGGTGGAGGGGCGCTTCCAGCGCCCTCTTGTTCTGGAGACTGAGATCCGGGCTTCCCAACGTTCCAGCCTCCAGGACCCCCTCTCTCTGAGTGAAGTCTAACTGTCTCCTGGCGGGGGCTGACTTGGGGGGCTCGTGCCCGCCCCTCCGGCCAGCCGTGGGATGCAAGCCCGGCTGGCCGCACTTTGGCTGCGTGAGTGTGTTCAGGCGCCGAGGCCTGGTGGGCAGCGCGCATCGGGAACACCTGTGCCAGCCTCGCCCCGTGCCACGTGGGTGACCCCCTGGAAGCGAAGCTTTCCCGCGACCTGGAGCAGACAGGCGGCGTCGCCCTCCCCTGACTGTCTCCCAGGTGGTGACACTGAGGGGTGTCTGGAGGAGAGTTCACGCGGTACAGAGCCGAGGGCTCAGGCCCTGCCCGCTGGCACAGCCGGCTTTAGACGTTCTGGGCTGGAGGCAGGGTTTGTGTTTTCCCATGGGGCGGGCAGAGGGCTGGCAGCTTAGATGGGCTCCCCCGCAGTTCCAGCGGGTCCTTAGAGCTGAGGACCCTAGTCCCTTTAACAGACAAGGATGCACACTGATTGTTTTGGCTTCATCATCGGCCTTTTATTTGTTACGTGTTGTCCAGTTGGAACTGACCCATGGCTGAGCCTTCAGCAGTTTTTCACAGGCAGTAAATTGCATGGAAGGTGATTGCCCATCCTTCTCCTGCAGAGCAGCTGGTGGATTTGAACCGCGCGCCTTTGGGATTGCAGTGCGCTTTTTTACCACTAGGCCACGAGAGCGCCATACCCGCATGCTGTGCGCCGTCTACACAGTTGTAACCTGTTGAACTCATTGCGGTCAAGTGGGAGCCGGTTCATAGCTGACCCTGCACTGGGTTTTCCAGGCCGTAAACCACAGGGGCCAAGCCATCTTCCTGTCTGAGCTGCTGGTGAATTCGAACCGCCAAAGAAGCAGTCTTTGGGTTAGTATCTCAAATTCCTGTAAACTCAGGGACCCTTTTGCATGTGAGGCCTGGAGAGAAAGTCAATCTGTGGGTGAGGAAACTGGAAATTTATCCTAGGCTTGCCTGTCTTCAGAGCCCTGCCCTTAACTGTTCAGAGGCATCCCTTCCAAAGCTCTACCAACTGTCGTCGTTGTGTGTGTGTACTTTTTATAACTTGTGAAAGTGAAATCTAAGCTGGGCCTATAGGGAATGGAAGCTGCCACATTGCAGGAGTGACTGAAGACTTGGCTGGTTCCTTTAAGAACTGTTAGCGTCCAGTGACTTAAGTAGGGCATCTGGAATCAGCCCCCATCCTGACCTCACCCCTGGAAGCTCATGTGCCGGTCAGATTGGAGGAGAGTAGACTCGGTCCCTTCCTGGCTGGTTTCCTCAGGTTCTCTGAGGATGTTGGGTCAGGAGAACCAGTGAATAGCTGAGGGTACTAACATCACCCTAAGAAGTCTCAGGAGGTTAACAAATATTTGCTGTTGGGAATGAAGGAGCTGGCAGATTCCTCTGAGCAAATGAAAGCTCAGGTTGCGGGGTGGGATTGTACCCGGGGGGTGGGGAGTGGGGGTTCGCATCAGATCTGATATATGATCCATATGCTCTGAGGGAAGTACCTTCAGCAGGTGGAAAAGGAAGAAAACATTAAAGGTTAGATGACTGGAAATAATCACAGTGGACAAAACTGGCATGTATTCTTTTGGTTTTAGTAAGAAATCCAATCTTTTTTTATTAAAAACTCTGTTGAGCCATCTCTTATCCCCATTCGTGGAGTGTGTGTGTGTGTGTGTGTGTGTGTGTGTGTGTGTGTGTATTTGTCACTCTCTGGTTAAAGATGAGTTGGGGTGGATCGTTGAGTTTGAGCATGGAATGTTGTGAATACTCTTCCCAGCTGAGTCACAGAATAGTTAAGAGGACTTCTGCTTTCCTGCCTAATTTTCTATTTCTAGAGTTAGGAATGATCTTTTCCTGTTTCCTTCTTTAGACATGTAAGGGAGTTCTGGTGGTGTGGTTTTTAATGTTGTTGTTTTTCATTTTATTATTTTTTTGTGTGTGTATTGTCAAATTGGATCTGACTGGTACAAGAGCATCTGGTGGATTCAAACCATATACCTCTGGGATTACAATTCAGATTCTTGCAGAGTTCTGGTGGTTTAATGGTAAGGAGCTGAGCTGCCAACCTGACGGTACATGGTTTGAATGAAGCAAGTGTTCCATGGGACGAAAGTGAGCAGTTTCCTCCCATCCATGTTACTGCCCCTGAAAACCTGCTGGAGGGTCGTCTATGAGTTGATTCTTACTCAGTGGCACATGTCAACCACCGTATAGCCCCAGTGAGTTGTAGTGGACTTGACGGCCAACAACAATAACAACAACAACAAAGCTCTAGTTGTCTAAATCTCCTCTTGGGGGGCTAACACACATTGGACATTCCAATAAAGCCCACCTCTTAGCCGACCCTCCTGGAATCTCTGACCTGTGCCTATCTGGTCATGTTTCCTGGGGCATGGTTGCCCTGGATCTCCTGCCCCATCACCCCGAGGACCCCTTCCCCATCTCTTCTGTGGGTCCCTCATGTGCAGTGAGTATCTGGTCTTACTTTCACTAATGGGGACACACCATCTCCAATGCATGTGGAAATTGAGTCTTGGCATCTCTGAAAACGACTTGGTTTGACTGTTAGACACAATCTGTGCTTGGCTGGTAAAGAATGCTGGATTGGAAAGTATTTTTCTTTAGAATTCCCACATCGTTCCTCTAGTGGCTTTTAACCACTGTGATTCTTGATCTGATTCTTCTCTAGAAGCTTCTAGAATCCTATTACCCAGGGATCTTTCTCAGTGACATGCCTGATTATGTATTTTGTTTTTATTCATGATTCCGGGGGCCTGGTGTGCTCTCTCTTAACCAGGAAAATCCATTTCTTTTTAAGATTTTTTTTTAACTTTAAAATGAAGGAATTTTTTTTTCCTTTTTCTCTTCGGAGTGGGGAGCGAGCTGGTGGGGAGGGGTGGGCAGGGAGAAAAGTGCGGCAATGAATGAATGGAAATCCAAAACCTCTGTAAATGTCTATTAGAATTAAAAAAAATTTCTCAATATTTCCCTGAAATTCCTTTTATGTTTTTAATATAGATTTTATTTAATTTTATACTTTTTCTTATTGACTTAAAACCTGCTGTTTTCACTTACTCTATCATGAAGTCTGGTGGGAACTCTGGCTGTCTGATGGGTAATGAGTTACTCGCTCAATGTACAGGTAGGTCATTGATTCACCAGCTGCTTCCTGGGAGAACGAGGGGCAGACTCCTCCCGCGCGGTTTACAGTCTCTGAAAGGCCACTGGAGGCTCAGCTCTTAGTCGGTTGACTTGCTGAATATCACAACTATTTTTCACGCTCTCTGTTGCCTTTCATTCTTGGAGTTTTCTGTCTTGAGGAGCTATCGTGTTTGACTTCCTCAGTCTTCTATTTTAAGACTATCCTGTTTCCAGGTGTACCCGTATCTTAGTTTTCAAATCCTGCTGTAACAGAGGATGGCTTTAACAAAAATGCATTCTCCTGGCTTAGTAAGCTGGAAGTGGTAACGCAGTGCAGCCTTGGCTCTAAGGGGAGGCTTTCTCTGCCAGCACAGGGGAAAGGCCTTTGTCTCCTTGCAGGGTCTGTGGGCCCCTGTGCCTTGCTGGTCTCCATGTGTCCTGGTGTCCCTCTTCCTGACTCTTGGAGCCTCTCTGGAGTCCCAGGCTCAAAGGATTCCCTCTGCTTCCAGTTCCTCTTTCTTGGTGTTGGTCAAATTCTTACCTTTCTGTATAAATCCTTTCTGTTCGCTTGTCTCTTCTTTTGTCTCTTGTAAGATAAAAGCAGACACAGACCCCCCATCCCAGGGAAATGTCCCTTATGCAGAGAAGGGCTGTCACCTAGATCAGAGGACTGCAGATCACCCTCTCCTGCCTCATTAACATAAATATAATATTCATGAACCTCATCCAGTCAGGTCTATTAACAAATAGAGGTCAAGATTTACAACACATGGCATGTGGGAAGATAATGATATCAGATAACATCATGGGAGATGATTATATTGTTACACAGCTACCAGCACGCACCATTATGTAACTGCCAGGACACCGGGAATCCTAGCCTAGCCAAACTGACAGGACTTGGGGCGGGGGGATGGGGGGACACACACAGAGTTCAATCTGTGACAATCGGTGTAGACCCGCCCTCATGCTACTGAGTCAAAACTAACTCACAACTGACCCTCCAGTGCGTTTTCAGAGGTTGTAACTAGCACTAACGGAGATTACCCGTATTTCTCCCACAGAGAGCAGGTGATAGATTCAAACCACTTGCCATTTGGGTTGGCTCTGAAACTTCACAAGTCACCGGACTCCCTGAGTCATCAAAATCTTCCTCTCTCCATCTTTGCTCATTAACTAGCAATTCTCTTGGGAAGAAATGTCTGCAAGAATCTTTCCGTTGAAAGATATGCAAATTTTAGGATTTTGTTACTTATTCAAAGCTGTTCTTCTCCAAAGTTCTACTGGTTTACAATCTTATCAGCAGTATGTGGTCTATTAAAGTCAAATGTTTCTTAAAATTGTAACAATTAGATCCCCTTAAATGATATACTGTGTTTCATTAACTCTATACTATGGGGTTTTTGTTTGTTTTAATATCTGAAATTAGAATGCACTTTACAGAGAGTGCTGTCATTGGTTGCAAAGAAATAGGAGACCACAGATTATTTGGGGGTGCAGGGCTCAGTCCCTGCTGTGTTAACTTTGACCCTTGCCATTCCACTCTCCCACCCCCATCAATGCGATGCTCTTCCTTGTTTAAAAAAAAAATAAAAAATCCTGAAACAAAGATTAACTTCCAGCTCAACTTCCTGCCTAAACCTAAGGGGAAAGGAAACAATACAGAGAACAAAACACAATGTTTCCCTAAATCTCTG